TCATCTGTAAATGTAAATTATTGGTTTATATTTAAATATAAAATAAATCTTATTGGATCTTATTTAAATAAAAAATATATACAAAAAAGTCCCGTTACTAAAGTATACAAACATTATTACAGGGCTTTTTGATTTTGGTGGTGCTAGGGCCTCTTATGGCCTTGTACCAACCGTATTTCAAAGCCATAGTAGAAATACAATTTTAGAAAGAATGTTAGAAACAATAAATAGAAAATAAATAGTTAACTTAATATTATTAATAAAAATAAAAAGTACTAAAGAATAAGATTATTTGGAATAAGAAATACATTGAAAAGCGATTACAATATTGAAACACTAGCAATTATGATAATACTAATAATGGTAATTTAGACAACAACGCAACTGCCAATCAAATACTAAAGTGTAACAACAACAAAATATTGATTAAAGTTATAAAATTAATTTAAATGAGTAAAAAACTATATAAAAGTTAAGAGAAATTTAAATTAACACTATACTAACAAAAATGTAAATAAATATTATATATTATAACAACAATAAATTTTTAGCTAATACAGGGTCGACGACCAGAGGTAATACTAAAAATAAATTGAGAAGAGGGAGGGGGGGGGGAGCGTGAATCCTTAAAAAGTACCGACTGGTTCCTTAAAAAAAAATAAATAATAATAGTAATAAATTTAAAAGGTCCTCTAAACGAAAATTTATCCATTAAATAAGTTCGTTAAAAAACCGACTATAACTTGAAAATCAACTTCTTTAGGATGATTTTCAAGTTATACCCCCCATCCCCCACACACACAAACACCTCCCCCCCCAAAAAAAAAAAATATATCTCTGCCGATGACACGGGTTTCGAAGTGGGGGGCACAATTGTCAATTGGTATAAGTAGTAGATATGCTAAAAGTAATAGATACAATAAATAAAACATAAATATTTATTTTAAAAATTAGCTTCTCTTTTAATAAATTGGTCTATTCTTCTTGTCTTCTTATTAAATTCAAAGTTCGAATTTTTTGTTTGTTTATTTTTTAAGTGTTTATTTAATTTTTGTTTTTTAGTTTTTTGTTTTTTTTGTTTACATTAGTTTGTTGTTGTACAGTTATATGCTGATAATGATAAAAAAATATTAATAACAGTTAACTTTTACAAATTTACAATGAGATACAAATTTACAATGATAAACTATATAAACAAGGTAACTGAAAGAAGATGACAAAGATCTTATCATCAGAACTTTAAATAAACCGTTGCTTTTTTAATGCATCAATAAACATTTTACAATAACGAGATAAAATAAACTAATAAACATTTTATAATGATGAATGAAAAAAAACTTTATAATGTATGTAGACTAATACAAACAAAAATATAATCAAGGTAAAATGACTAAATATAAACAGTAAAATAAAAATGCTAAGTAATAATAATAGCCCCGGGCCCCAAAAAGTCTTAACCCGCCACTGCCTACCCGTCAGTAGCCATATTTAGTTACCATCTACCAAGGATAAGCTATTATAATAAGACTCCATCTCTAGCCTATATTTAATTAAGAGCACCATAACAAAAGGTTTCTTAAATCAGAATTAACTTTTACCAGACTTTGTATAGAAAAGCGAATCCTACAAAGCAGCATGATATGAAGCAGTTTGTACTGAAATAAATTATTACCAGTAGCAGGTTAATCATGATAAGTCCTGAACTAAGATTATTGTTTACTATTTATTCAGATATTTTTGTCTTTATTTAGAATCCCAGATACCAACATTAGATAATATAGAATACAACAGGAGGATTACCTAAAGAAAAATATTCCACCTCATCAGGTTTAACTAATAAAATTATTTTTTGTAATTTTTTTGTAGAATAATAATGTACTCATCAACACTGTCAGTTTTAGAGTTTTTTATTGTAACGCACTCGTCAACAAAATTTACAGCTTTTATAACAAAATAAAACTTTTTTTTTTAAGAAAGAACAATGTTTTATAGTTTACAACAGTTCTGTTTAAGGATAAATGAAGGTAAAGGAAACTGCTTTAATAAAAGTCTTGTACTGATGTAGATCAAAGAATAACCGATTACTGTAAAAGAAAATTTTAGCTGATTAAATGGTTTTTGCTCATTAATGATTAAACTCAAAAACAAATAAATTTATTTTTGATTTGAATCATTAAGATCTCTTTGTTTATATAATTTTTATATAAAGCTGTAATGTTCTCCTATGCATTTTTTAACTTAAAAGATACTTAATACTTCGAAAATAAAAATAAAACAAAAATGCGTGTTACATTATTTTCTAGTAGATAATGTAATAAATTTGCTAACTACAATTGTTTTTGTAACTTCTAGAATGCCTAGCGTTGATTGATCTCTAATTAAAAATATACGTATTGGCCAGTATATACTTTTAGCTGATATCATTTAGTTTAAAATCATTCAAAACTTCAATCAAATCAAACAAAATCATTTAAACTATGATTTTTATTTATTCAATAATTGTAATGCATTCATTTTGATTATTTAATGAATGACGAGTAGTCGATGGTTTTCTTTCTTTTAGCTCAATATACTAATAGGGTTGTATTTTTTACTAATGGTCCACAATTAGTAAAAGAATAACACCCCCTCCCCCTTCCTCATTTATTCATAGAATTATGGACCAGTTTTTTTACGCATTACTATTAAACCATTACTATTAAAACCATCATATAGGCCTAAATCATTTGTATTGATTATTTTATTAAATAAATAAATAATTTATATTGATTATTTTATTAAATAAATAAATGATTTAGGCCTTTCTCGCGACGATGGTTTAATAGTAATGCGTAAAAAATCTGGTCCACAGCTCGATAAAATTGGAAAAGATATACAAATTTTTAAAAATATTGGCTTTCAAATCGAAATAAAGATAAATTTAAAAATTGTGAAATTTCTTGATGTCACGTTTAACCTCTCTGAAAATTCATATACGCCTTTCAAAAAACCAAGCGATGAATTATTGTATATTAATATTAACTTAAATCATCCACCCCAAATTCTAAAACAAATCCCGATTTCAATTAATAACAGGCTAAACCAAAATTCCTGTAATGAAAATATATTTAATTCCTCCAAACGAATATTTGAAGATAAAAAAAGTGGTTTTGAAAATTTTGAACTAAAATTTGACCCTGAAAAAAAGAATACAAAAAAGTGAAATAGAACTAGAAATGTAATTTGGTTCAATCCCCCATATAAAATGAATAATGTAAATGTATAAAATATATAAAATGTTTCCACTAACATAGGAAAAGTGTTTTTAAAATTGATCGATAGGCATTTCCCGACCTGTAATAAATTACATAAAATTTTTAATCGAAATACAATTAAAGTTAGTTACAGTTACACAAAAAATGTGGAAAAAATTATAAAAGATCACGATAATTAAAGTTGCCGTGGCGCAGTGGTAGCACACTTGCCTTAGAAACGTAATCCATGGTTCAAACCCCACTTCTGGGCAAGTTTTACGACATCGGTTGGGAAGGAGGCGTGAACTTTTTAATAAATGCTCTTCCGCTGTGCTCTGTGATAAGACCGTAAGGACTTCTTGGGGCACCTAAAATCAACATAAAATAATAATAATAATAATAATAATAATAATAATAACAATAATAATAATAATAATAATAGCAATAATAGCAATAATAACAATAATAATAATGTTTTGTTAAACAAAAAGGAAATCTTAAATGAAAAAACTACAGAAAATTGTAATTGTAAACAAAAAAATAATTGTCCAATGAGTGGAAGCTGTTTATCAAAAAATGTGGTATATAAATGTACTAAGAATGTACCTGATAAACAATATATTGGGATAACTGTGGATGAATGGAAAAGACGTTTTGCCAATCATAAGCAATTATATTAAAAATAAAAAGTATTCAAAAGACACCATGCTGCCAAAATATATATGGGAATTAAAAGATAAAAATATTGATAATTTTACACTAAATTGGTGCACCCTTAAAACAGCACCTGCATATAACAATATTTCTAAAAAATGCATACTATGTCTACAAGAAAATTTTGAAATAATTACACATGCAAGAATTTTTATCAAATAAAAAATCGGAATTGATTTCTAAATGCAGGCACGAAAATAAATTTCTCCTAAAAAACTATAAAAATAAGTGAGCTTAAATAAAAGTTACATTAAATCCCCTTTAAAAAAAATATTTTTTAAAAAGCGTAAGTAATCATTTTCTAAATTTCTTTATTATAGTGTCAGCATGTTCCACAAATGTGTGAAAAAATACAGTAGTTAAAACATGCGACTTCTTGTAATTTAATTTTTGGTATAAATTGAAGTTTTATTAATTTGATCATTCATTTCTGATGAGTCTTTATTGATGAAACACAGTGTTTAATGAAAAAAAAATTTGCCAAGTGATTTTGTACTAATTTATAATTGCTCTGTTCCTTTAAGAACATTGAGCACTCTATTTTGTAGAATACATTTTAAAATGGGTTTTATATATATATATATATATATATATATATATATATATATATATATATATATATATATATATATATATATATATATATATATATATATATATATATATATATATATATCATTCATAAAGATTACATGTGCATTGAAACATAGCTCTACTTAGCTTTTTTATTTTTATTTCTTTAGTGAGCCATTAATTCATACGAATAGTTTATGAAAATGCTCTTAAATCTCATGAAACATTTAAGTTTAACCTTTTTTCAATAAAGTTAAGGAGTATAAACTTTGTATTTAACAACAAAAAAACTCATTAAAAATTATTAAAATTAATCAATATAAATGCAATCATAAAAAGAGATAATTTTGCAATTAGCGATGGTAATATAGGTCGGCAAATAAGGTTGCCGAGCAATTAGATTAATACAGTCCTCGCAAAAACGAGACAAGACGAGACAGCTGAAAAACAATAATTTTGACAGGTAAAAAATATCGCTTGAACTAATATTTTTGTACTAATGGGACGCCGTTACACCGTTTTTTTGTGAATATTTCAAGATGGCTTCCAAGAAAAAGCAGGAAGACAAACATCTGCAAATATTAAGACAATTAGTAGCAGAGCAGCACAATAAAAAATGTTTCGATTGCGGGCAAAGGGGACCAACTTATGTCAACATGACAATCGGTGCCTTTGTTTGTACCTCTTGCAGCGGATTATTGTATGTTAACATCAAGTTTGCATTGTTTACTTAAGTTACTTCTGATAAATAATATATATATATATTTTTTTTTATTCAATTATTTAACTATAAAATTGAAAAAATTACAAATTTATTTATAATTTTACAAAATTAGGCTCAGTGTCTCTTGTATAGTTAAAAAATAGTCATTGGAGTGACGCCTTGATAAAATAGACAATTAAAGCAAAGAACTAATATAGATAGCGACCAAAATTAAACATATATGTATATATATATATATATATATATATATATATATATATATATATATATATATATATATATATAATATATATATATATATATATATATATATATATATATATATATATATGTATGTATATATATACACATGCATACATACATACATACATACATACATACATACATACATACATACATATGTATGTATGTATGTATGTATGTATGTATGTATGTATGTATGTATGTATGTATGTATGTATGTATGTACATACATACATACATACATACATACATACATACATACATACCTATGTATGTATATATATATATATATATATATATATATATATATATATATATATATATATATATATATATATATATACACTTATTTGTATGTATGTATGTATATATATATATATATATATATATATATATATATATATATATATATATATATATATATATATATATATATACACTTATTTGTTCTTTATTTTCTTTTAAAAAGAGACAGCTATTTCACTCAAAATAAAATTAAGCCATGTTGTCACGAGTGTATCAAAAAAAAAAAGCATTTCTGCATAAAAAGTATAAAAATTTGCTAATTTTAAAATAGTAGTATTTTTTTTCTATAAACTCTTTCATTTTCAAATAACAAAAATATAAAAGATCTATCTTTCCTTGTTAAATAAATAATTACATTAAATGGAATAAAAATATTTTAAAAAATCACTTTTCTGTTTTTTTGCAATAATTACGAAAAATCTGGCTTAGGACAACTAAGATAATCTGACATTTGGAGCACTTATCAATGAAAGTCTGTTCTATCTGATTTTCGGTGCCCTTAGCTTATTTTTTGAAGAAAAATTAGTTTTTAATGCATTTCTATTTTTAATTTAATCACTATTAAATCATAATTGTAATTTTTTTGCAAATGGCACCAAATTATCGAAATTGCAATCCTTTATACATATAAAAATCAAAAAATTATTTTCTGTATCTCTAACTATGTCAGATCATACATCTTCAAACTTGGCTGGTTTACAACATTTTTTCTATTTTTATACAAATATTTTTGTTTACATTTTAAAACAATCATGTGACCTATAATATTTTATCAGTAAAAAAAGTAGCGGTTTGTTGACATAAATATTGCCTGTTTCAGTTAAAAATCAGGTTTAAATAAATTTCTTTTTAAGTTAAAGTGGTCTTACAATGTGTATGTTTAATATTAAATATATAAATATACTTTTTTAATTTTTTTTCTTGATAAAAAGTGACAACAAAATACTAAAATTTAGCCAAGCTCATCATGGCGCGTTTATCTAAAATCAAAAAAAAACTTTTTATCATTTATTTAATGTCATATGGTAAAACATTTAATATTCTTTTTACATAACAAAATTATTTTTAATGTTTTGAAAGTATAAAAAGTTTTAGTAACACCTATCAAGTGATTATTTAAAAAAAAAATACAAGAAGTCGTAAAGCTCACTTTGAAACATCCATGGAGAAGCAGTAACAATATTATAAATATTTAAATACACAGGCTTGGTTGGGAAGCGGGTGCAATCGCACCTGATAATTGACCATGGAAATAATATTTAGTTGCGTAAAACCAGACAAATTTTTTAGTCGTTTTGAGAACATTTCAAAAACAAACAAAAAAGCGCAATAAGATTAACTGGACCGATGAGAGACAGTTATAAAAAAGAAAATAGCTTTTAATGCAAAAAAACTTTAAGGAAAATAAATACGATAAGAGCTAATATTTTTGAAACATCACTCTTTTATAATTTTTTTTTATAAAATTAAGCGGCATATTTTATATAAAGTAACAACTTACTATTAATAATTGTTTAATAAGGAAGCAAATGTTTCCTTATACCAGGACTCACAATGTTAAGGGCTGCCAGTCAAAAAATAGTCAAGAGAACCATTTGGTATTTTTTAGTCATTTTTATGCTGTAGCAAATAAAAAAGGCCACCAAAATAATGCAGTCCCCCCCCCCCCCCGGCCCTGAAAAGTCCAACCAACATATTTATTTAGATGAACAAATGAAATAATTAAATCATTGAGTCACTGTAGAAATTCAATTAGCTAGATAGAAATTAACTAAAAATGTTAAATTACTTAGTGAGGATGAAGTGGAACTGTTTCACAATACCGCTGATGTTGTTTAGTGAGTAGGCATTATAATTTTAATTAGTATTTAAAACAGAAAGGAGTAACTTTAAGTTTAAGTATAACAAGTTTGTGAGAATGGTTGAAGCAAAAATAATTTAAGTTAGTAAACCAATTTCTAAGAACTTAAAAACTTTTCTTTTTTGGGGGAAAGAATCGGTTATCGAGTACACTGAGGAAAATAGATTAGTGGTTTAAATTATTTGTATTAACTTTGATGATTATTAATAATTTCATTGAAAAAGCAGTTATTATTCAAAGTATTTTTGTTTATAAAATCAATTGCACAAATTGCTTTAAAAGATTACATCTGAATAAAATACACATACATAAAATTACATACATAAAATTATATACATAAAAAATACATTCATAAAAATACATTACATACATAAAATTACACATATAAAAATACATTACATACATAAAAATACATCCCTTACATATAAAAAATAAGAATATACTATTAAAATGTATAATATATTTACAAAACGTTGACAAGTTAAAAAATATAAATTTAAAACATTCATTTTTGTAAATTAATATTAGTTTAAAACATTTATAGCTTTGTAGATCTGGCTCCGAGAGTGAGCCATAGTATTAAAATAATAGTTCGTTTGATAGTATATTTTTAAAACAATTTCTGCTAGAAATCTCAATGAAAATATAACTCAAATAATACAATTTTTAAAAATATTTTAACAGAATACTCTAGAACATTCGGTTAGTATTTTTTGAATACTCGAGTAATTTTGGCTAGTATTTTTTGAACCAATAGAATTAGTTGTTCATAGATTTGGCGGGTTTTTTGTGTTAACGAATATTCTTTTTTTATTTTTTGCACAAAGATGTTTCAGAACATTCGAGTTTATGTATATTTATGTAAATCCGTAAAACAAAATATTCTAAAATTTACGATAACTCAATTATTATTTTGCGGGCAAACAAGGAAACACATAAACCTAAATGTTCTCAAAACGACTAAAAAATCTGGCTGGTTTTTTGCAACTAAATATTATTTCCGAGGACAGTTATTGAGTGCAATCGCACCTGCTTCCCGACCAAGCCTGAATACAGTATTTTAAAGGTGAGTTTATCAAAATGGAACATTTTTAAAAAAGTTTTAACATTCTAAGTAAATAATTTTTAATATACGGGTTTGTTAATTAAACTGTGGTCAAATTATGAGTTTTTATTTACATAAAATGTCATAACATTATCAGTTTTTTTTATGTAACGTGTATAGCTTGGTGTCAAAAGATGGTTTTATGTATATTTAAAGGGTGTGTTAAGACCGCTTAAGAGGTGTCGAAATATAATATATTAAAACATATAAATTAAAAAAATATATTGATTTTTAATGAAATTTTGGATTCTGATTTACATATTTTAGCGTCAAATATGATGGAGATTAAAGTAACATATTTACCACTTCTAGGTAAAAGTGACATATTTATTGCTCACCTCGCCTGGTATATAGCATTGTCCCTAGGTGTATAGTTTGGAAAAATAAGTACCTATTTTGGCCAAATTAGTAAAGTATCTGGTTTAGGGCTGCAATAAATATCAGACTACCGACCGGAACAAAAGCCCCCTCCCCACTAGGGTGCATCCAATGCCCCATACTTTCAAAAATTGATCTGTCCCTATTCTTAAAACTTTCTATTGGTACTCACAAGACACTGTTAAATTTTTTCAAAATTGAATGAGATTTAGGGGGCCACCTCAAATCTGAAACTTGCAACAAGACCCTAAACAGAAGAAAAAAAAGTTTTTCAAATGTATGTCATATTGGGTCTCAAAAGAAGCGAAACTTTATAAAAATTTTAAATATAATTATGATTTTTTGTTAAAAATACCTTGAAAAAATGGTTTTTTTTAATTTTTTGCTAAAAAATCATTTTTGAGCAATAAAACTTATAATAATAAATATTATGTAAAATTTTTATTGTTTTTGAAATTTTTTTATAAAATTTCGCTTTTTTTGAGACCCAACATGACATACATTTGAAAAACTTTTTTTTCTTCTGTTTAGGGTCTTGTCCCAAGTTTCAGATTTGAGGTGGCCCCCCTAAATCTCATTCAATTTTGAAAAAATTTAACAGAGTGTCTTGTGAGTACCAATAGAAAGTTTTAAGAATAGGGACAGATCAATTTTTGAAAGTATGGGGCATTGGATGCATCCTACTCACCACCTTCCTCTCATAAAAAAAAAAAAAAAACGTGTAAAAAAACAAGTTTTTTTGGGTTGAACTAAAGGCCTATCTTTAGTTTATCTTAGCCCCTTAGCGAAATGACAGTTGTGGCTTCTACAAACTCTCCCCTTCCCAAAATAAATTTGTTTTACTGATTAGTAAAGCATTTATTTGCCTTTGCCTTTCAAGTTCAAATAAAAGTCGATTGATTAGATTAACCTTAACAATCGTTTTTCCTCCTCCAGTAAAGTCTGATGCCTCAATAGACAATAGTTTGTCATATTGGCGTTTGCAAGCTCAGCAGAGCAGTGACGTATCCAGAAGGATGATTTAGATAATTGAAGAATCTTGGATCCATCACAGCAGCAGAGTGTTTGTTGGTGCTCACCAAT